AGCAGCAACTCCTCATGGGTTCCAGTTTCATCATGAGACTGCAGTGGTTCAGCCCCATCTCCAGGCCCCACTTTCTCGCTCTCGTGCAAGAATGTACCACACCTGCAGTTACTTCCTCCACTGGAGTCTTGAACTCCTCAAAGACATCCATGGGTGGAGTCAACATCTTCCATATTCCTATTAATGCTGATATTTTTATCTCCTCCTATGAATCATGAATGTTCTTAATGGCACCTAGAATGGTGAATTCTTTGTAAAAAGGTTTTCAATTAACTTGGCCCAGATTCATTAGAGGAATCATTACCTATGGCAGCTATTTCTTAAACAGTAAGACTTGAAAGTCGAAATTACTCCTTGATCTATGCTGCAGAATGGATGTTACATTAGCTGGCATGAAAGAAACCTTAGTATCCTGTACATCTCCATCAGAGCTCTTAAGTGACTATGTGCATTATTAATGAGCATATTTTGAAAATGTTTTTTTTTTTCTGAGCAGTAGATCTCAACAGTGAGCTTAAAACATTCACTAAACCATGCTGTAAACAGATATTCTATTATCCAGGCTTTGCTGTTTCATTTCTAGAGCACAGGCAGAACATATTCAGTATAATTCTAAGGGGCCCACAATTTTTAAGGATGGTCAACAAGCACTGGCTTCAAATTAAAGTCACCAGCTAGCTATATTAGCCACTAACAAGAGAGTCTCTCCTTTGAAGGCCGGCGTTGACTTCTGCTACTTCGATATAGATGTGTTAGCTGGCCTCTTCCTGTCTACACTGAAAGTCTGTTGTTTAGTGCAGCCACCTCCGTCAATGATCTCAGCTAGATTTTGTACGTGATTGCAGCTTCTTCATCAGTACTCGCTGCCTCACCTTATACTTTTATGTTATGGAGACAGCTTCTTTCCTTTAACCTCATGAACTAACCTCTCCTCATTTCCAACTTTTCTCTCCTGTTTCCTCATCTCTGAGCCTTTACACAATTGAAGAGAGTCAGGGCCTTGTTCTGGCACAAAGCTTAGGCCTTGGCTTAAGGGGATGTGATGGTGGTTTGGTCATCTAGCTAGACCCCTAAAACTTTTTCCATATCAGCAATAAGGCTGTTTTTCTCTTTTCCTGTGTGTTCACTGGAGTAGCACTTTTAACTGCCTTCAAGAACTTTTCCTGAGCTGGATGTGGTGGCTCACACCTGTAATTTCCACACTCTGGGAGGCAAAGGTGGGTGGATTGCTTGAGCTCAGGAGTTCAAGATCAGCCTAAGCAAGAGTAAGGCCCTGTCCCTAGTAAAAATAGAAAAAAAATACTAGCCAGGTGCAGTGGGAAACACCTGTAGTCCTGGCTACTTGGGAGGCCTCTTGAAAACCTCTTGAGCTCCAGAGATTGAGGGTGCTGCCAGCTATAATGATGCTATAGTACTCTACTCAGGGTGGCAGAGTGAGACTTTTCCTTGGCAGTCACAATGTGGCTAATTGGCAGAAGGGCCTCATTTCTGACCTACCTTAGCTTTGGACATGCCTTCCTCACTAAGCTTAGTAAGTCAGCTTTTGCTTTAAAGTGAGAGATGTGAAATTCCTGCTTTCACTTAAGCATTCAGAGGCCACTGAAGAGTTATTAACTGGCCTAATTTCAATACTGTGTATCTCAGGAACAGGAGGCCTGAGGAGAGGGAAAGAGATACGGATCAAGTTATCATCTTAAATGAGTGCAAGTTTATGGTGGCCTCCCAGTTACAAATATAACTGACCACAGATCACCAGAACAGATATGACAATATTGAACAATTTGGAAATATTGTGAGAATTACCAAGTTGTGAAATAGAGACACGAAGTGAATATATCCTGTTTGGAGAAATGGTGCCAACAGACTCGCATGATTGCTACAGATTTTCAATTCAGAAGAAATGGAATATCTGCGTAATGACCTTTGGTGAAATGAGGTATACCTGTACTTTACTAGAGACTGTCTTCAGAAGTTTTAGAAAACATGAATTGTACTTGGGGAGGCAGAAATAATGACACTAGGTTGAGCAAAGCCTGCAGGAGGGAGAAGAACGAGCCTAATTTATACTTAGCTGGATTTAGTTTCAGGAATCACATGGAAAGAGACACCAAGAAAGGTCTGGCTTCAGCGCATGACAGAGGACGGTGATGAGGAAGGAGAAATTTATTCAAGGAGAAGCTTTGTCTCTGTTTTCTTAAATCACAAAACATTCCAAACAGTGGTGTATTTTGACTGTGAAATTTGGTTGGGTCTTTTTTACATCTTCCATGTCTTTAGTTAACTTATAAACATCTGACATTTAGTTATATAATAACTTATAATGTCTGTAACTGCTAATTCTAATATCTGCATCAGTTCTGAGTTGGTTTCAATTGGATGACTTTCTACCCTCAATAAGGGGCTGTATTTTCCTGCCCACTTGTAAGCCTGGTAGTCCTTGATAGGACGTCAGACACTGTGAATTTTACCTTGGTAGGTGTGGATATTTTTGTATGCCTATGACTATTTATGAGCGTTGCTCCAGGACTTAATTAAATCACTTGGTAGCAGTGTAATTCTTTGGGTTTTGCTTTTAAGATTTATTAGGCAGGACCAGAGCAGCATTTCTTATGAGGGCTCATTTTTCCCACTTACTGAGTAAGACACAAACCCTTCTGAGCACTCCACCAGGTGCCCTGTGAGCTCTGGCACTCTTTAGTCTGCCTTCTGAGAGCACAAACTGCTCCTGGCTCTGCCTGAGTGCCGGGCACTGTCCCCTCTGGTCCTCTTAGCTGGTTCTTTCTCTAGCTTTGGGTAGTTTTGAGTCTTTTCCTCCCAACTTCTGACTAGAAAACTTCTCAGAATGTTCTTCAGGGAAATTATGTGGAACATAAAGAATTGGTCCAGAGATGAATCCCTCTCACTTTGGGATTCCCATGATCAGCTGACAGATAAATATGCTTATAAAACACACTGTGAATGCTAAAGTCACACCAGTGATATGCTACTCGACAATGACACAAAACAGCTAGAGAAAAAAATCAGATTCACCTTCTTAAAGAAGTCAGTCGTAAGATGGTAACTATATAGCTCTAAGTCAAAAGTCCAAGCCTCAATTTTCTGGGGGCAGGAAGGAGAGATTTTTATCTCCTATTTCTATTTGATCTTTTAAGTCTTAAGATAGGAACAGCAAAGATAAACAACAACAAAAACGCTAGCATCTTCACAGTCTTTTCCTTATATTCATAAATTTTAAAGAAATCAAAATTCTTGCGTATATTAAAGATACAAGCCATGCACCTGAAAATGTGTCCCAGCATGCATATGGAGGGACAGGGATGCAACTGATAAATTCAAGGCCCAGACCCTACATGTCTGTCACTTGTAGAGGGCATTTAACAGGGGTTACCATTTACTGCACAAGGACCCAGACTGATGCAGAATACTTTAATTTCCCAGGCAAAAACTAATGTATTCATTAGTTTAGGCATCCAAATTAAAGGTAACAAATAAAAATTACTTTAATTGTCCATACTTCGCTATAACTAAATATTAGCAGGAAAATAAGCCTGCTTACTTGAATTATAAGCATTTATTTTCGCCTACCTTCTTCCTATCTTTCCCTTTCATTCTAAACTTTTTAGTATTTTGCTGAGCTTTATAATTATTTCACAGATATAAGGGAATTTTTCAAAGGCCTATGCGTTTACTATTATTTTTTGGTAATTCCTTAGATCCTTTCTTTTCCCTACCAGATGACCATTAGGCATCACTTCACTTATAGCACATAAAAACATTATATAAAATATTTAAAGATTCCCTTTGATTTAGAACACAGGGTTTAACAAAATTGTCTGTGTAGCCCACCTCTAAAATTAGCCTTCATACATTTATCAGCGAAAATTAACACAGTAGAATTGGGAATATTGATACCTGATTGTAAACATGCCCTTGTTTAGATGAGAAAGAAAAGCTACGAGGAAACTTAAAAATAAGTACTGATTAGAAACTGAACACTTGTATCATTTCTCAGTCACTGATTTTAATGATTTTTCTCCCAGCCTCAGGGTGGGGGAGGCAAAGGCAGCACGCCAGGGAGGGAACATTCCACTTGGGAGGGACACGCCTACCCAGATACTCCATGGCCTCTTACAAAAAATCCACCCCTACAACAGCTCCAATAAATAATCAGACAAGATCACTTCTCTGCCTGAAATTATCGATTCACTAGTCCCTATCACCCTCAGGACCTTCTCCTGGTTGGTATTTCTCACATCACTGTACACTACACACATATTCTCTCTCTGGCCCCCTCCCCACACATCTAGGTTTACTATGAAGTTCTTAGCAGATGCCATGTCCCCATTGTGACTCTAGGTTTTTGGAGTAGTTACTGCCTCTCTCAAGAATTCCTTTAGTTTTCATGGACCTACATGCCATCCAATTTGTTTATGTTCATAGTGTATACACTCACTGATTATATTTGAGGTACATAAGAAGCTGCCACAATAAAATACAAAGTGATTTTTTGATCTTATGGATTTAATTATATTTGGATTAGCAGTGAGAAAAAAATATCACCATCAGGGACATCTCTCCTTGTTTGGTTTAGCTGGAGGCTGGCAAAGTCAAAGATGGTTCCTACTCTTGAAATTAAGCCTGAATGTTAATTTTGAACCAGATGATTTGAGTTGTCCTTATGGAGGAAAATAACTCAATGTATTAAAATTGGAAAAACCGAGTTAAGTGATAATTACGATCAAAGACTTCATATACAGGATCTGGTGCAAATAACACTCCTTTTTGTCTAACAACCCACAGGAAGAAAATTCTACAGAAAGTACTGACAGGGCCGAAAGACTGCACACGTAATGGATTGGAATGGTAGGGCTTTTGTCTTTTCAGTTTCTCCACCAATTTCTGTGTTTCATATTTACCTATATAATGCTGCTACATTAAAAACGGCGCTACTTCTTGCCCTGTATTTAAAACTTATCTTAATTATAACAGTCAAACTTTACCTCTTGAAATGATTCACCAGCACTCCGACTAGTTCTCCAATTCGACTCTCATGGGTTGGCTGCTTGCTGAAGAGGCAGACAATGAGGTCCTTGTTGTCTTTGGTATGGAACACTACAAGTTGGTCCTTTCCATTGGAGACGCTCAGGCCAGTTAACTAAAAGGAGACAATGCGAGAGAACTATTAGGATGGTTCTTGAAAGGATGACTTCTAAAATATTTTTTATAGTACTTTTTCTCATAGCACCATGAGGACCTTAGCCTTTGTCCAGGTCCACATTACAAGCAGATAGAAGGCAAGTCAATGGAGAAAGAGTAATTCAGACTTCTGGAATAACATGGGACATTTGGACATTCCCACACCAATACAAATGTCTACCTCAATCTCACCCCTCAGACAAAATTAATTCAAAACTCACCATAGATTTAAATGTAGAATATAAAACTAAAAAGCTTTTAGAAGAAAACACAAGAAAAAATCTTTGTGACCTTGGGTTAGGAGACAATTTCTTAGAAATAACACCAAAAGCACAATCCATAAAGAAAAATAATTAGTAAACTGAACTTCACCAAATTTAAAACTTTTGCTCTGAGACTGATACTGGTAGGAGAGTGAAAAAACTAGTCATGGACTGGAGAAAATACTTGTAAAGATATATCTGGTAAAGAACCTGTATTCAGAATATACAAAGAGCTCTTAAAAATTAGTAAGAAAGCAAACAACTCAATTAAAAACGGCGGCACCTGTGGCTCAAAGGAGTAGGGTGCCGGCCCCATATACTGGAGGTGGCGGGTTCAAACCTGGCCCTGGCCAAAAACTGCAAAAAAACAAAAAGGCAAAAGATTTAAAATCACCTCACCAAAGAAGGCAGATAGGTGGCATGTAATAACCATATGACAAGACGTACAGCATCAACAGTCATTAGGGAAATGCAAATTAAAACTACAGTGAGATACTACCACAAACCCATCAAAATGGCTGAAAGAAAAACAAAACCAAACAGGCGATGACAACGACAAAAAATAACAATATAGGCTTGGTGTCCACAACTCAGTGGTTAGGGCACTGGCAGGTTCGAACCCAGCCCTAGGCCAGCTAAACAACAATGACAACTACAACAAAAAAAATAGCTGGGCGTTGTAGCAGGTGCCTGTAGTCCCAGCTACTTGGGAGGCTAAGACAAGAGAATCGCTTAAGCCCAAGAGTTTGGATGCTGTGGGCTGTGATGCCACACAACTCTACAGAGGTGACGGAAATGCTTGTGAGGACACAGAGCAACTGGTATTCACATATTCCTGGTGGGAATGTAAAATGGTACAGCCAGTGTGAAAACACTTTGGTGGTTAACTGAACAAGTTATATATAGAATTACCATATGAGCCAGCAACCTCACCCCTAAGCATTTATCTCAGAAAACATAAACTTACATTCACACAAAACCTTATGTATCAGCGGTTCTCAACCTGTGAGTCATGACCCACAGGAAGTGTATTAAAGGGTTGTGGCATTAGGAAGGTTGGGAACCACTGTTATATATGAATGTTCATAGCAGCTCTATGAATAACTGCCAAAGTTGGAAGCAACCTAAATATTCATCAAAGGGGATAAACAAAGTGCCATACATCTATATAACTGAATGCTATTGAGAGCAATAAAAAGGAACAAACTAATGATGCAAACTGTTGATATGGAACAACATGGATAAATCCCGCAGGCGTTCTGTTGAATGAGAGCAGCCGTTCTCAGAAGGCCATAAGCCACAGATTGGTAGTTGTCAGGTGTAAGGCAGGGAAGAGGCTGATACAAGGGAGTTTTCTGGGGTGACAGACATATTCTGTATCCTGATTGTGGTGGTGATTACGTAAATCTATACATGGATTAAGACTCATAGACTTGTACACCACCACCACCACCCACAAAAGTCTCTTTTATTTAATACATGTAAATTAAACAAATCATTTCTTGGTTGTTTTGACCCCTAGACATCCTACTTTGGTCAAGAAGCAAATGCTGGAATGATTTCTCATTTTGTGGTTTGTTTTTCTATTGCAGAAAATACCAAAGTGCCACCTCCTGGCTGCCACAGATGCCATCAGTTAGATAGCACTGGACAAGGGGGACGCACAATGCCAGACAGGTGTAGTGAGGTGGATGTACCAGCGACGCTGAAGATGTAATCCCTGTTCTTGGGGCTCATAATCCACTTGGGAGAGACAAACACCAAACACCTAAAGAACACTTTAACAGTTTATACACATTTGGAAGGTCATTTAGTTCCATGGCCACATCTTGTTTCCATTTTCTCCGCCCTTTAAAAAAAATTTCAACTGACATGAGGGTACATGCAATTAGGCTACATTGCTTGCATCTGTAGGGCAAAGTCTACACTGCAGCTCTGTTCCTCACACCTGCACATGGTCCCTACTGGGCAGGAGCCTGCTGACCCCTCCCCCCTTTCTTGGATTCAGTTGAGTTTTTCTCTCATGTGGAACCTCTTTAGTCTACAGGTTTCAAATCAGTATTGAGTACATGTGATGTTGGTGGCCACATTTTATACATAAGGAGTTGAGGCTTGGGGAGGTAGCTGATTTGCCACCTTGGGAACTAGAACCCAGGCCTGCAGACTGATCAGGTATGTGTTCTTTCTATCACGCCAGGCTTTTGTATGGGCCGTGTATCACCGAACATAAGCTGCATAAGTAAGTATTCTTTTGAATAAATTTTATTTTAAAAAAAAATTTATTTATTTGCTTATTTATTTTTGGGACAGAGTCTTACTGTCACCCTGGGTAGAGTGCTGTGGTGTCATAGCTCACAGAAACCTCAAACTCTTAGGTTTAAGTGATCTTCCTGCCTCAGTGTCCTGAGTAGCTGGGACTACAGGTGCCCATCACAATGCCTTGGATAGTTTTTCTACTTTTTCTAGAGACTGGGGCAGGGGTCCTCAAACTTTTTAAACAGGGGGCTAGTTCACTGTCCCTCAGACCATTGGAGGGCTGGACTACAGGCCCCGGGACGAGTTGGCTGCTAAGCAGGACAGGCAGCGGTAGCAAAAACACCCAGCGGGCCAGATAAATGTCCTAGGCAGGCTGCATGTGGTCCATGGGCCGTACTTTGAGGATGCCTGGACTGGGGTCTCATTCCTGCTCAGGCTAGTCTTGAACTCCTGAGCTCAAGCCACTATAAAAGCACTCTGGTGGTTAACTCAAAAAGTTAAACATAGAATCCACCTACCTCAGCTTCCTGGAGTGCTAAGATTACAGGTGTAAGCCACTGTGCCTGGCTTGAGTAAACTTTCATAGAAGGTGAGTTTTTAGATTTGATTTTTAAGAATGCCAGGTCAGTTTTTAATGGAGAAAAGAAAAAATATCCAAGGAATTGGAAATCCTTCACCAAATGTGTATAAACTGTTTCAGTGTTCTTTAGTTGTTTGCTCTATTCTCTCCCCAGTAGCCCCAGAAAACCCACATAGATTCATGGGTTTTCTGGGGCCAATGGGGAGAAAACAGAGCAGTGGTTCTCAACCTGTGGGTTGTGACCTCTTTGGACCGTATTAAAAGGCTGCGGCATTAGGAAGGTTGAGAACCACTGGAGTAGAGCAATCTATAAGTTTCTTTGAACAAAAGAGAAATTCCTCATCAAGGCTACCCTCTCTGTTGCATCCTTATTTCTCAGAGTCTGTGGAATGTCTATGCTATGATAAATCTAAACCTTCCCCTTTTTGGCTTGAAGATTTGAACAGGGCAAAGAGAGTCTCTTGATTGTAACCCATCTTAATTTCCCAGCCTCTCTTAGATATGTTGCATCCAGGTGATTTTTTTAAATTAAATCATAGCTGTGTACATTAATGTAATCATGGGGTACAATGTACTGGTTTTATATACAATTTGAAATATTTTCATCAAACTGGTTAACACAGCCTTCATGGCATTTCAGGTGATTTTTTTTTTGTGATTAAATTAAACATATTTGCATTTTTAAAAATAGTTTATGTCTATCATGCTTCACTCTCATTTGATTATTTTACATGTAAAATTCAGAACTGAATTTACTTGGCACTTCACAAGAGAGTGTGATTAAAGCCTAAGGAAACAAGAATTGTAACAGCAGTAACCTTGCCAGCATATCCCAGGGGCTTTAGTTGTAGGGGTGGGAGGGGGGTGCTGTCTGGCCTGTGGACCGGAGCCTGTGACTCTGTCCCTGCCACCCCAACTCAGGGTGTGGCGTCTTCTCCCTCCCTTTCCTAGTCTCCCCTGTGGGTAGGAATTTTTTATGCGAATGCTCAGGCCTAGTGGTGGGCCTCATTCCTAAAAGAAAACAGGGAAAAGGGCACCTACTTGGCTCTGCTACACCAACAACGAAAGGCGAGTCCCTGTTGTTGCCGAGGCAGGACAAAAGTACTCAGAACGTCTCCTTTAGTTCTGGGAGATAAGGTGGTAGGTGGGGAGTAGTGGCCTCAGGAATGGTAACTCAGGTGTTAATCTCAATTCAGCCACATGATCTTGAGTGCATCATTTTATTTTGGGGGCACCTATCTCCTTTCTGCAAAATAATGACAATGCTGGGTGCCTTCCTACCCTACAGGGTTGTGGTAAGGATCAAATCGTAGCAACTCAGGGGTACCCAACAATAACTGAGCAAAAGGTCCCTTGGTCTTCAATGGTCTGATGCTCAAATCTAAGTGAAAATACGACAGCAAACCTTTATCACTGAAAATATAATTTAAAGCATTGTGCAGTACTATGCAAACGTAAAGGATTGTGTTAAAATACACTGTTAGGATGAGGTCTCTACTTCAGTTATTTATGGGCAGCCACGACACGCAGGCGAGTCTCTCCCTATCAAGGCTGCTCCCTCCCCTGTTGCCTTCTTACTTCTCTTATCTATGGAATTTCTATGCTGTGCTAAGTCTAAACCTTGCTTTTCTTTGGCTTTGAAGATTTAAACAGGGCAGTCTCCAACTCAAAGCTTCCAGCCTTTCCTTAGAAAGAAGGACCAAATAGTAACTACAAATACACAAGCAGAAAGATGGGCAGTGAAGGGGGTGGTAGATCTGAGGAATCAGAGCAGGTCCCCCTCCACAGTGGAAGAGAAACCTCTGGTCCACACTCTCATCGATGACACAAATGCAAAACAGACCAAAGTGAGAGAAAGAA